CCCCCCGCCGCTCACCCGCTGTCTTTGCTTCCGCTCCTCCGAGCGACGCTGTAAATTGGGGTAGGGGCATTGGGATCGCGTCAATTACCTGATCGGAATAACAAAATCACAAGCAATAATTAGGATCTATGCAATTTTTAAACTAGCGATGGGCCAATTACAAAATATATATGAAATCTATATTTTTCAACCAACGTTTTACTACTTGTTACCTTTCCCATGCTGAATTATTTTGTTGTGATTTTGTACAGAATTTTTAATGACTTTTTATAACGTGAATTTCCTATTTTAAACCATGCAGCTTCATCAATTTTTATACATATTGGAAAGGTAGAATTATATCTAATTTATACAAAATGATTTAACTAATTTAAACCAGCAGAAAAGTGCTTAGAGAAGTTATGTTGCCTTAGCACTTCTTTCCTTTTCAAATAGATGAAGAAGAAAAAAAAAATGCACAATCCGGGCAATTTCTTTCCCATGCAAGTCTCTTCTTTTTTCTTTCTTTCTTTCTTTTTCCTTTTCCCCATACAATAAGAACCAGATCCCCTAGGTCTTAAGAAGATATAAGAACGATAGACTTATTTTCTATCAGAACATATCAATTCAACACATTACTTGCACAAACTTGTATATAAAGATTATAAGCAAATGCCAACACCCTTTTTAAATCGAAAGCTGCTTGACTATCACATACAATTTGCACTGTTTCTTTTTAGTCTTTGAACCCCTTGGCATTCCGTGGTTTTGGTTTTTTTTTCTTTCTTTTTTTTTTTTTTTCTGTTGCGTTTTTTTTTAAAGATAACTTGAAGATGTTAATGTTTCCAGGCGATATAAATGCATGATTTTATACATGTTCACACAATCCGTGGTTGTCATATGCTCATTTTATAAATCGGAACCGAAATCTAATCAGGTTGTTAAAGTCGGGCTATATACCTATTGTAGTCGATTAGTACGGTAGCTTGAAACAAATTCAAACCATTTAATCCGTAATTAGAACAATAGCTATTGCATGTACAATGCAGTCCAGAATAAGTGCTGTTTGAAATGTAACGCTGGTTCAACTGGAATCAATCTGTACTGTAATTTTGTTTGTAATCCTGTATATTATGGTGTAATGCACACTGGGATTTTAGAAAAACATCCATCCTTTGGAAACAACATAGTATTGAACATTTGGTCGAATGTTGCATTTCTCCTTAAATGTGATTTATTTTTTTTCTTAGTGTAAGTAATTCCTATGGGATTATTGTTTTATTCGGATAGCTCATGAAAGGTGCAACACTTATTATTTGTAGAATAAAATTGGACTAAAAAAAAGGACACGGATTCTTTACTTACCTTGAGGAGTACCAGGGGAAGGGGGCGGGGGTGTTGGTTTGTTTACAGCTAACGCTGCTATTTGCAATGCTGATTTGTTGAATTAGGGAAACGGAGGCAGAGACGCGGTTCGCCAGAGAGCTGGAGCTGCGGCTGCCGGCACGGGATGCGCCCAGCGCCACGCACCCGCCCGGGCGGCCCCCGGCCAGCTCAGCCCGGCCACTGCCGCCTTCGGGGCTCCCCTCTCGGGCTCACAACCCTCCCCGAACCGCGGGAGCTCCCGCGCCTGGCCAGGGCCGGCACACCGGGAACGCGGCTGCGGCCCCGGCTGGGCTCGGCGGCAGCAGGTGCGCCTTCCCCTGCGAGGCAGACCTGGACCCAGCGCCATCGATTCACCGTCCCCTCCTCTTCCCAAAGGGAAACGTTTCTTTAATCTTCACTGATTATTCCGAGGCTTAAGAAACCCGGAGACACAATCTGAGGGAGAGCAATTCCCCTAATGATCAGGAACAATTATCAACAGGTCTTTGCCTCCGACCATCAGATTTAAGACGTTACCTGAAATACTTTATATGAAGCCTACCACAAAGCGGAGGTATTTCACAAATATTTCATTTAAATCCAGCAGAAAGTGAACAGGCATCCTGACGCGAACATCCTCGTCCCCTATGGACGAAGGATTTTTTTTCCCCAGGAGAAATCAAGCTATTGACGTCTGTTTCGAAGATGTTTATAGCTACGGAAATCCAACGCGTAAGCATGGCGAACCTGCCCTAGTTGTGCAACACACCCCTCCGCCAGGCTTCCCTGCTAAAAGCACACTAAAACCTAATTGCGACGCCGAGTGATGCATTTTGCAGCATCTCCCTGCATTTTGCCTGAGCCTGCAGCTCTAAAACTGTTGCTGAATCTGAAAAGAAAGCAAAAGGCAACTTTTCAAGCACCCGATTAACCTTTCTCAGTTAGTGGCAACAGGGCTAAATGTACCCTAGATAACCCGAGGGGGAGTAAATGAATGTCAATTTTTCAGATAAAATTGAAAAAGCTGACCCAGGCCTGCTCGCCTTTTGGTTATGCACCTTCTTCTTAAACATAAGGATTCTTCTAGTCAGTCAAGGGGCAACTCGCATGCCACCATCTTTTATTCAAAGGCAGGCACAGATGTTCCTTCTGCAGGGGAGGTTTTAATTTATGAAAATGATATTGTTTATGCATGAATGCACTCTGCATAACACACAGTACTTCCATCTGATGAGAGAAATACCACAGAACCAGTGCCAATGTCAGGAACATATTCTGCAAATTTAGTCGCTTAAATGTTTAATGAATATTTGGAAGGCATTTCCAAACCACAAGAAACCTTTTCAATTACCTTTTCTTTTTCCACTGTTAATAACAAAATTCAACTCCTCTAGCCAATGCAACTTAGTTAAAAGATCTACCTAGGCTATCTGAATGTTTGCTACTGTGATACTTTAGAAAAAGCAGTATTTTAATGTTATGAACAATGTAATAAGGAAAATTAATTAGGTATTTTGGTAACTAGAGGCTCCATTTTACAAATCACTTGTGAGTCTTGTTATTTCAATTAGTTTTGGGTGCTTTTTTTCTCCCACTGCCCCTATAAAATATTGGAGATCTTTCCCCCTCCCCCGCTTTGCTAATGCTTGTGATGTCTCCATGATATTTCTTTCATACTATTAACATCAAGCCAAATCTTGAAATTTCTGCTCATAACTCCCACGGGAAGGTCTATCAAGGTCTCTTTTAATGGAAAGAATTACTCACACTGTTCCTCTCCTATAAACATATCACTAATTAACTAAGGCTATAGTGGGATTATCTGACTTCCGCATGCAGAGAAAACTCTGGGGTTGAGTTGTACACACACACACACACACACACACACGCTGGATCATCTGACACAGGCCTGAAACTGTATTTTTGTTGTGACCAATGGCCCTTCCCTTCTTTACGGCATACCTCCTACAACAGAAATTGCTCTGCCACCAGTGCATGCTTGAGGAGACCTCAGTGAAATCTCTGCAGGTACAGCACATAAGTAAGTCACGACTTGCAGGTTTTCCCTTGGTGTTCTGAAGCAACAGAAGAGGGTCTGGAGTTTGTGGACCCCTCATTGCCTGTGATACAGCTGAGGCCCCAGCTATGGCAGAGGAAGCTCAAATGGTAGAATCCCAGGTTACATCCACAAGAACTCAGAGACTGAAGTCTCAGGTTTCACATAGCCCAAATGAGAAATGTACCTGAAAAACATCAAAGTGTGGTTCACTGACTTCAGAAGTGAAGGGAAGTAGATTCAAGGAGAACAAAGATTCCCAAATTCAATAGAAGAAAACAGCTGCTTTCTCCAGAAGATACTGTTCTAGAATTTTAATAAACTGATAGTAGAAAGCAACATGCAATTCCAGAGCTAATAGGGATCAGTGGAAATAATTCTAAACTAAGTTTTGAGAGCAGGTGAAACAAATCTTTTCTATCTCCTGTAACAGTAAAAATTCTTGCAATTATTTCAATATTGTAACTGATCAATCCACCATGATCTTAACAATTGCTTTTGACATATCAAAAATGAGTCTCTTTTAAAATAGAATACAATACTTCTGTTCAAAGAACCATTTTGTCAAATAGTTTTAGAAATTGCAAAGTTAATTTCCATTCTCTTTTTTTGTATTTAAAGTATGCAAAGAGAAAAACAATCAAACAAAACCCATTCATTCCTATTGAAGAAGAACTCACAGAAATGAAACTTGGAATTCTGCCTGGTGCTGTAGCAGGGAAAATATGTAGACATTTGTCTTTGTTTTTATTAACCAGGATAGGATGTATGGTAATTTCAGAAATTAC